CTCATGGATCCTCACTGTCATTACCCACAGAAGCCTTTGATATTGAAAGTAACTAAAACACAGATCATTTAGAAGGTTGAAGAACTAACAACAACGGGTCAAGTTTTTTTCATACCGTCTAATGATATAAAAATAATTAACACAAAAATAGCACTACATCATTCCTAACTATTTCATAAAATTTTATAATGCTTATATGTTTAAATGATTACTAATTCTGTTCAGAACATATTGTAACAGAGTTAATAATCATAATTTTTATTTTAATTTTATAAAATATTTTCTATGAAATAAATGTTATTCATATCTTGTAACCAGTTCACATATCTTTTGCACATCAAAAGGTAAACCATTTTTTAATAAGAAAAATATAATACACATGCTAAAAATAAAATTGTTATTTTCGATACATTTTAGGAGCCAAAACAGGGTTGGGTTTTTGACGTCAAAAAGTGGTTTTTGACATGACAGGGGTATAATACTGGTTTAAACCGTCAAAAACCNATTTATATATTGGTTTTAGAATTTTAAGCTTTTTACTCAGTTTTCCATGTAACTTTTATTAAATGTCTTAAAGGGAAAAAAAGTTGTACAACAGACTGTTTTCAATTAATAAAAATTTTGGTTCGCAATAATCAATATGTATATTTTTTCTTTTAAATTTCCATTTCTATGCTACAAATTTGAAATGTGTAGAAGACTGTTGCAGTAAAAAAAAAAAAAAATAGTAAATTTTTGAGACTACATATTTCAGGTCAAAGGCAAAATCAGGTTGCTTTGAAAGTTGACCTAGCGTCAGAAAGTCATATAAGGTATCAAATGAAAGGTCTATTGCAATGGTGTTTCAAACTTTTTTTTAAACACCATTTGCTTTCTTTTAAAGTAAAAAAAAAGTAACTTATAAAGTAAAGTTCTTAAGTAAAAAAAAAAGTTACAGCTATTTATATGTATGCAAATTTGTGGTTTTTTCTATGACAATTTTTTTTCAGGTGTCTATAACTTGGACAAATTTCAAATTAAAAACTGTTCGAATTGCTTACTTTATCATGTATGCATGTTTCACCAAATTTCATTAAAATAGTAGGGAGTCAGTTCAAAAGTGATTGATCTGTTATGGAATGACTCATTATAAAATTTTTCCTTTACTAATATTTCCTTCTACTTATTATATAAATATAATTAAAATTTTAAAGGATCTTTTTGATTGATAGTTTCTAAATCATTCTAAATCAAAAAATAAAAAAATTTACTCTTATATGCTTCAAATATAGATTTTCATATATTTATTATTTGATTGTTACAAAATTGTTTTTCTAATAAAGCAGTGGCACGTTAACATTTTTATATTAGCCACTTGATGCACATTTGACGTAACTATTAATACACAGCAGAAAATAATATGTAATCAAAAATCTAATCTATCCTCATAAAAGTAAGTAGTCAACTATTCGAAAATAAATTTCATGTAACATGAATTTTTTTCATTTTTAATATTATTGTTATTTCCACAGAATTTTTATCATTTCAATATTATTGTTTATCATGATGAGCTTAGATTCACAAATATATTATTACTTTTCATTATTTCCAAATAAATAAATAATAATTGATAACCACATAAAAATTTTATCTCTTGCAGAGTTTTATTAACTAGCCATAGTTTTATTAAAACTGCGCGTTACAAATTCATTTATAAAATGTTATAAGTAGAAACACTTTTAATGTCGAATAACCATAATATATAAACACTTAAACATCAATTTGAACTTTAGCGCAGAATTATTTTCTGTTACAATTACAATGCTGAATAATTAAGCACGAAATATGCATAAGATGATTAGACATTACATGGCACAATTATTATTTTAATTAAGATCCGAATTTTCTTTTCCTTACAGCAGAACGTAAGAAAATTATATAAATATTGCAGCTAAGCTTTTATAAGAGAATAATTAATTTGAAAGTATTTAAGAGCACCCGTTAACATACTCTTTATATCAAAATGACATAATTTTATTTAAAAACAAATAATAAACATAGCAAAGAAAACATTCATTTTTATTGCCTAATTTCTTTTTTAAACACAAATCTCCTCTTTTCTAGTGGTTGTTTACGAAACAAATGTAAACACAATCCATCAATGAATCAATTTTTTCAACATACCAAATACGAGATTACGCGCTAACACAGACACGCATGCACAAAATTATTTAAATTTTTATTTTAATTCACAATAAACGCGATAAGTTTCCAAATTCTTGCAACCAAGAGTGATATTCAACAGCTAATTACAATGCGAAAAGCCCATTGATCCGACGTTATCATCTCCTTGTTGCCATCTATGCCTGTAGTAGAAACTATGGTTTAAAATTAGTTACCAATTCCTATGAAGATAGAGATCCGTAAAACTGGGCTGTCAATAATTGGTTACTTTTCAAACCCTCTTATTAACTAAGTGCGGTCCCGCAGTGGACTGATCGTTAAGACGCGGTTCTCAGCAGATCACCGAAGTCAAGCATCACTGGCTGCGGTCAGTGTGCGAGTGGGTGACCACCTGGATCAGTCTGCGTAGGGACCAAGGGTGTGCGGTATTGGTCCTCGTTAAACTGTTCTATCGTAAAGTGCTCGACTTCGCGTGCAGGTCGTTGGGCTACCGAAGCAGGGGTGCCATCCCCTCCGCAGAGGATCAAAATTGTGATGGCTTGTCTTCGGATCATCCTCTGGGGTGTTTCCCAGACCGTCGCCAATAGCCCATTGTGCAGCTCTAGTGCGACGTAAATTAACTACTACTACTGCTACTAACTATTGGCGATCGAACTGGGCTGCAGGTGGCGTAGAGCAGAACTCTCTACCTATGGCAACACTTCACATGCTTTCCTCTTTAGCGTGTGGAAAGTCATAGAGGAAGGAAGTACGTTGGTTTCTCTCTTGGTTTCCATGCAGGTTAAAATCTTTTAAGTTGGAAAGCTATATGGAACTGAAAACTACATTAAACATAGTTCTAAAGAGAAGTATCATGGAAATTTTAAAAAATATTTTTATTAAATAAAAAGGAAAAATATTGAGAAAAGGAAAAATAGCGTAGAGGAGGAGAGGGAAGGGCTAAAAGCATGAAACCGGTCTCTCCCCAAATGGCGTATTCGAGTGTTGCGATCGCCAATAATAATCCTTGGGTGCTACCCAGAAGTAACGAACTGTTCTATTTTACACAAATAAGGAATAACACTCAAAACATGACTAATCTTACACATTGTTTTAGCAGTGTGATATTAATTTTGTTTTAGGCTCACAATCTGTTAGAATTTATAAATTACGGGAAACTCTTTTGAATGGTAAAATTACGCTTGAATTTATACGAAAATCACAATAATGAAACTTCCTCGAACATTAAATCTGTGCACTCATCGTCTCGTAAGCATAAAATAAGAGGAGATACACAGCAAATTTTCTAAATTTCTTCCGGTTTTAGGAAGCGTGCTATTGTTTACATTCAGTCAACCATTCATAGTCAAGGAAGAATGTGATTGGTGAAATATATTTTCCGGCGTCTGTCTCGAATCACTATTTCTCTAGGTGGAGATCGGAAGTGTGTGAATAGCATCGAAAGAGTCTCTGAGAACAACGGAAGCTCTGTAATAAGTTTATGAATGGTTGACTTAATGCAAAAAAAAAAAAAATTAAATGCATAAAATTTAAAAAAAAATCTCTCTGAAACCGATAAATTTTTTTTAGAAAACTTCTGGTGCATCTCTCCACATTTGTTAGATTTGCGAGGTGATGCGTGCACAGGACAGCTATTTTAGGAAGTTTTATTATAGTGACCCAACACATATTTTAATTTATGCTTAATTTTACCATTCTTAAGAGGTTTCGGTAATTTACGCATTTTGAAAGATAGTTGGCTGTAAAAAAACTTGAGTAAATTAATATCTCAAAATAATTAAAATGCATGGTTTGTCATGTTTTGAGTGTTATCCCTTATTTGGATATATTTGTACAAAATATCACCGTTTGTAATTTTTTGAGTAGCATCATAACATATTTGCAAAGTCTTTCGAATTCATTTGTTGCTTGTATCGTTTAAAGTTAAATTTAAATAAAGAGTTATATTAAAAACACTACAAGTATAATAATATTAGATAACCCGCTTTTTCAAACCTAGGCATAAAAATAAATCGGAAGTAGTAGCCCGGACGTCTTGCTGTGAATTTCAACGTCTAGCGCCATCTGTGCTTATCTTTCTATACAATGCGAAAAATTCTTTCAATGCGGAGGTCCCACAGTGAATTGATCGCCAAGACACGGTTCCCAGCAGATCACCGAAGTCAAGCATCACTGGCTACGGTCAGTGTGCGGGTGGGTGACCACTTGGATCAGCCTACGTATTAATCGAGGGTGTGTGGTATTGGTCCTCGTTAAACTGTTCTACCGTAAAATGCTCGACTTCGCGTGCAGGTCGTCAGGCTATCGAAGCGGGAGTGCCATCCCCTCTGCTGAGGATCAAAATTGTGATGGCATGTCTTCGGATCATCCTCAGGGATGTTTTCCAGACCGGCGTCAATAGCTCATTGTGCAGCTTTAGTGCGATGTAAGTGAACAACAACAGCAACAATCTTCTTTTTTTTTAATGGCGGGCTCTTGGAACTATTGTCCATTGGCCATAGAAAGTGCCAGAACTGCTAACTATCTTTTCGTTACCCAGTGGGCATCTGAGGCGAAGGCACGACGGTGGAGCAGCGTCGCCCACGTCGCACTACCAGAGCCCGTTTATAGGGCGGGTCACATTCACACACAAAGGAGAAGGATCATAGAACACAGATAGAGAGAAAGAAACATCCATGCCTTACCCGGGATTTGAACCCAGAACCTTTCTGATGCAAGGACAGTTCCCTGCCCCCTACACAGGCCGGTCGGCACACCAACAATCTTTCGATGTGGAAAAAATATCGATTATATTCCCAAACAAACTCTATTAATCGATTTATAATTGATAAGAATTAATAATTGATTAAAATTATATCGATTCGTTCGGTTTTTGCTTCTTACTACTCTACTCCGGGACCTGGTACAAATAAACAAAAGAAATCATAATATTGCTTCTCCTTTCCTCCAAACTTTATATTTGAAAACCATCCACTTTATTCAAGTGAGTGAAGCATTTTCACATTAAATTAAAGCATTTTGAACAAGAAAGTGTATCAGTAATAGTACTGAAAAAGATACTTTATTTTTTATTAACCTAGGGATGATAAAACACAATGAAAACAGAATGGATCTTATTATTTTATATTAAAGAATTAATTAAAATAGCCAATAATTTTTTTAAAGCAAATTGTTCATTCAACAAAATATTACTTAAATCTTCTGCTAATTTTAAAATTTTTTTTAGGATTTCCTTTTAAAGGATTTTTCAAGCAATAAAGTTTAAATGATTTTCTGAGAGAATATGATTTAATAAGAGATTCTATTCTTCTTTAGATGAAAAATGTAATTTTTTAATAATATTGGATTCTTAAAAAAAAAATTATTTTTATTCACTGTATGTAAAAGAAGAAAATTGTGACTAAAGATTTCTTTCATAATCTTTTTAAACTTGATTTTGACATTAAAAAAATTTATATTCTTGGGGATATTCTTTGTTAGTTCATTGGCAGAAACCACTAAAAATTTGTTTTAAATGAAAAATGTAATAAATAATGTAGTGTAGTAATGTAATGTTGAATGAATGTAAGAAATTATCACAATATGTTCCTATTACTGTAAATCTAGTAACAACTGTATCAAATTCTCTCCTTTTCTTATGTTACACTGGTAGATTTCATATTGAGATAATACCAAATTTTTATTTTACAATGCTAAACGTGTTTTGATGTTTCTCTGTTACAAGTTTTATAAAATGTAGCAATATTTAAATAGAAAACTATTTAAAAATGTTAATCTGACATTAATAAAATTCAATAATAAACACATTGAAGTTATTCATTTACAAAACATCTATCCTATTCCTTTTCTTCAAAATTTCCTATTAATTATACCAATCTATAATCATCAATTCAGAAAATGCCCAACTTTAAAAAATTGACTCCACAATCATATTAAATCTTTTCACATACAGCAACACTCACAATGTACAATCAACATTTTATTCACAATGACATTTACCATAACATTCATTTGCAGAAAAAGAAGAAGAAAAAAAAAATGCCACTCAAAATTTAATCTGAAAACCAAAATTTAGTTAATTAATTTCTACAGAAAATGCTGCCAAATAAACAGAACACTATTGAAACTGAAGGGGATTTTAATTTATCGACTATGTCAACCTTTATCTGTGAAAAGGTACCTCAAGATAGAATCAAGTTAACATGTCTTATATACTAGTGAATTGATATTTAATATTTATAGTGGTAGTTACGCCACAAAACTTTCATTATGTCAATATTCTTCTCCTTTCAGCTGCGCAAATAGAAATCAGTCATATAATTATCACAACCTCAAATATCCAGCTCCAATATAATTTCTTGTTTTTGTGATCAGCACAAATCCATCGTATGCCGAAAAATCTCTGGTTGACTGTAATTACCCTAATTTTTATCAAAGAAAGGCAAGAAAAAAATTTGTGCAAAATCTAACTTTTATAATTTATGGATAGCTAAATTGAAATATTAAATTGTTTTTCATCTATTTGGCAAAAACTATTATTTTGCTATTGTCCTTACTTAAAATTCATTTGAAAGCGAAAGTAATTACTAAAGGGTTTATAATTATTTTACTATTTAAATTTTTTTAATATGTTTGATTAATTTAGTTATATCTTTTTTAATTATATATTTAGTTCCTTTTTTGTCAAAATTCAAACAATAATAAAAGAACTTTATTATTTGGTAATAGAAACATTGTTTGTAAACATCAGAATATTACATTTTAAATCTTAAGAATAAAGTTATAACAACAAAATAATCTACTAACAAGTACTATTTAGATAATTATGATCAGAACCAACTCACTGAAAGAAAATACTTTTTGGTGGAAGGAAATCCTTTTTGGAGGAGTAAAATATGAGAAACCCTATTTGGAATTTTTTTTCTAGTAATAACTAAATTTATATTTTAATGTATTCTTTGATTTGTAAATTTGATTCAAAATTTTTTTCCATATCACTATACATAAATCATTCAAAAGTTTATATGAAACACTACTTTGTTCTCTCATACTGAGGCTTTTAAAATATTAGCAAAATAACCAAAAATTCTAAAAACCTTAGTTTTTAACTATCTACTACTCTTTAAAATATTTTGCAACAAGCGTAATAGTTCGCATTATGAATTACAGATACCAGTTTCATAAAAAAAATTACTTTGATGGATAAAATATAAGATTACACAAATAGAATTGTGTTTCATTTTTTTTACATTAAGCATATTCCACTTAGTGGACAGAGTAATAAAAAACTCAATAATCACATTAAGAGGTAATGTCTTCAAGAAGTCTGCTCAAATCTATTTGTAGATGACATTGACATCACATCCAGAACACCTGCTACTTTTTAACAGACCTTTTTTAACTTGGAAAGACAAGCAAAGAAAGCAACTTTAATAATTAATGAAAACTAAATTTGTGGTATATACCAAGGGAAGTTTTTCACTTCCCTACATAGAAATCAGACTGAAGTTGACATATTCATTTACCTGGAATTACAGATCAGCATTAAAAATGAGATAAGGCCAAAAATCCACTGCAGAATTATTGTGATCAACTGCTGCGTTTTTAGGGAGGGAGGCTGCCTAAATTCCTGAGGTCTAATGTCCTTAGATTTAGTTCCAAGGCACTACTATATAAAGTAGTTATGAGATCTGTACTTACATACTGCTCAGAATCATGGACTGTGACCTCAAGAGATGAATGTGCATTCAAAGGAAAAGTCTTTCAAAGTATTTTTGGTGGTGTCCAGATTAACGAACTATGAAGAAGGAGATCCAACAATGAACTTTATCTTCTTTATAAAAAAAATGACATTAGCAAATATATCAAAATTCAAGGGATGAAATGGGCAGGCCATCTAATATGGTCATTGAATGAATGTTCAGCAAAAAGAATTTTTTTGGCTAGGCATTATGGAATGGACCAAAGGGAAGACTCAAATTCAGATGGTCCAATTCTCTAGATAAGGACTTCCTTATACTGAACTGTAAGAACTGGAGAACCATTGGTGAAAACAGGTCAGGATGGAAGAGAACCATTAAGAAGGCCAGGGCTCACTCTAGGCTGTTGGGCCAAAGATGATGATATTTGACTTATTTTGTAAAAAATAAGTAAAGCATAACAATTAAATAAAATATTTAAATTTTTTCCCCCTACTTTCTAAAATTTTTAAGCATTATCATTAAATTTGAAATCTCAAACAACATTTTGTACTTGCTCCTTGATCACTCTCTTTTCTTAATTTGTTTTCCTTTTAGCATTGTATCTGTTTGTGTTTTAAGATGAGAAATCCTGTTAATTTCAGGAATATGCCTGGCTATGCTTGTGGAGGATTTAAAAATATCTCTGGTCCCAACTATAGTTTGATTTATAAAATATATTAACTTTGTAAAATAAAATTGAACTGCTAAATATTTTTTTTTTCAAACGTTAATTGTATTTTTATTTTTTAAATTTATTTTTAGTTAGAGGTTTGCTTAGCATTTTTGTTTTCTTTTTCTACTCTTATTTGGAATTGAATAATTTAGAATATAAAGAGGTTTGCTTAGGGTTAGCTATGAGTTATAACTTTCAAGCTGATCTCCTTCTGTGATTTTTTTTGTTTTTTTTTTGAAGTTTCTCATGAGCTGCTGCCCGAAAGTTGTTAAGAGTTAACGATTAATCTAACATAGATCATGAAACGGAAATCTTCCCAAGTTAAAGCTAAAATTTAAAACAGGAAGTTAAAGCATAAGTTTTTTATGTGATAAATGGAAGAAAAAAAAGTTTCATTTTGATATTTTACAGTTATTAGTTTAATTAGCCTAATTGAAAGTAATGCTAAACAGCATGTTTTTTATCAACATTGAAGTCTCAAATATGAACTAAGTTCTCTATAAGATAATAAAAAATGCTAAAAAGTTTCAATTTGATGTTTATAAAAATTAGAATAAGTAAAAGATAATTTCCCTAGAATTGACAATAATGCTAAATATCATGCGTCAAAGGACCCCATACAAATTTTATATAAATTATTTCTTTATCAGAAATTTCTCTTCAAAAGCTCTGCTCTCAGAAGTCCAAAAATTGATAGTTTCTGAGATATAAACATAAATAGTAATTCTGAATTATCTAATACCATCATGACATCACCCAATGAGGAGGTTGTCCTTACAAGGGCTGATTGTTTAAACAAAAAGTATGTATATTTATGTATAAACATAACTAATAATAATTTATTTGAATATTGTTTACACTTTGTTGGGGAGGTACATGCATTCTATTAACTTCATTTTCTCTCTATACTGCGCATATCCTAAAAACTATATAACACTCCCAATTTGTGTGCAGGTACCGAATGTCCAATGCTGCCTGCTTCAAGCACCTTTTGCCGAAGTAACCGTCGCCTATATCTCTTATTTTTAAGATTCCGGATCTCGGAAAGCATCTATTTTTGGACTTAGTGTCAATGAGAACTTTTGCGCAGAATGTTTTAAATTTTCCACCTATTTGACGGAGAATTACTTTCCATAAGATTTGTGTAAGGTCCTTTTAGACTATGTGTTTTTTATGAGACAAATCAAAAGACTAACATGCTTTATTTTATAACTATAAGAATAATTAAACTAAAAGAGAGTTATGGTAAATAACTTGATACCATCATGTAAGTGTTTCAGTATAGCCGATTCCCGCTTTTGGGCCATTAAACCGCGAAGAAGTGAATCTAGATCTTATTATTACCTAGCTCAAAATCAATGTAGAAAAAAAGTTCTTTTTAATGAGCTATGTCCTATAAAGTGATTATTGAATTCAACATTATTTTACAGTTAACTTGTTAGTTATAATGATATTTACAAAATCTCTATAAAATCATAACTTATGAAATTATTCGAAATTTAAAAAATAAAATCTCAGCATATTTTTTCTATTTTATTATAAAAATTGTATCTTGTCACATTTATAATTAAAATAAACGTAATTGGATTTATTTATAAGCATTTAATAGAAGGTGTCAAGTATTGAAAAGTTAAGTTTCTTCCTTTTTGGAAGAAACTAATTTCACTCATGACAGTTTGTTCAAAATGGAAGAAACTGATGTCAGTTAATATTTAATATTTTCTTGGCAATTTGTGAAAAAGTACTGTTCAAAGCAAATACTTGTTTTCTCAGCAGCTTCCTATAAATAGTTTTTTAAAAATTTTTTTAGTTTACTATATTTCATTTTTTATTTATAAATAACATTTAGAATTAATTTAATTATTTTTGCTGTCTTTAGAAATATGGAGCGAGTAGTGCTTAACTTCATTATTTTATCATCATGTCTCATTCTTAAAACTTATCAAAGCGAAGAATTTCACCATAGCACAGAAGATGAAGTAATTTTTAGAGTAACACGAGGAGTTCATTCGCATGGTAAGATTGGAGGTTTTGTTTATCTATTCTTGTATTTTATTAATTATAACTGTAGCATACAAAATAAAAACAGAATATTTTTTAAAAATGTGTAAAATCTAAGGACAGTATGAAGTCAAGAAAGCACTTTATGTTGATCTAAGTTCTGAAATTAATTTTTCTCAACCCCACATTTTTAAATTTTTCATCATAACTATTATTTTTTATGATACCATATGGTTAAAAAGTAGGATGCATTTTAATTGAATATTCTGCCATATTTTTAAATAATTTTTGCTAGAATGCAAGATCTAACTAATATTTTTTTATGCACATCTAATGCTCTGGATTCATTGCACTAAGTTGTGGGTTAGAGGGAGCAGCGTTGAACATAAATTGTATCTAAATTGTTGGACCATTTTCACTGGATACGATGTTTTGCATGAAAAATTGAACAAGATTGGTGGAAAATATTTATCCGCAGAAAATTCGTCAATCAGGTTCCCATTTGCATGGTGAAAATGAGAGAAAAAATCCCATCCAGTTAAAATGTCTCTATAAATATGAGTAGAGATGGATATTTACCTCTATCTTAGGTAAGTACCCAAAATCAGGATTTTTATAATTTTTGATTATTTTTAAAGCTTTGATTTCTTTGCTTATAGTTCTAATAATTAACTATGTTTAATTTTCAAAAAGTAAACTTTACTTAAAACTACTAACTAAGCTTAAAATATATCAGTACCAAAAGAAATATTTTAATAATACCCAAGAGACATTGCTGCATTAAAAAAAATAATAATGTTTGTATTCTATACAGTACAAAGTCCCATATCTGTTAAAGAGAAATATCTATTTTCCGGAACACTCTTCAACAATCAAATTTAACAAATGTCATCTTCTTTTTTCTGCTTCTCTGATAGCTAAACATTTATTGTGTTTCATTGTGCCAACACCTCCTAGAGAAGAAAGCTTATCAACCACTTCGGAACATCACGGCTCATCTTCCTTCTTGGAGTGTGATACAAAACATTGCCTCGTATATTGCTAAAGCAATTATATTCTATTTTATAGAGTACAGCTCATGACGAATGTTTTCAAATTATGTGTTTTATTAGTAAACTTTGAATGGGAGAAATTGTTAATTATAATATATTTAAGGTATAAATTTTATAAATATTTCTCTACAAATTAGCAGAATATATATTATCTATAAATATAATAATATTATGAGTTGAGTAAAGTGTTGTAGTATATTTAATTAATAATTTGTGGATTTACTTTTAAGTGCCTATAGAATTGTTACGAGCATAATTTAAGTAGAATCTAAACTAGGGTTCATTCTAGACTAAAAAAAGGGCAGGGTGCTAAAAATTGAAAAGGGCACTGTACTTTTAAAAAAAAGGGCATTGTATTTTATAAAAAGGGCAGATACCTTAGCCTTCTTTGCATAATTTAAATGAATAATTGTGTATAAGTTTACTTTATCACTAATCACAATTATAATTATTAAATGCATAACTACAATTTTTCGAGGGAAAAAGGCTACAGTTTGAATTGAAAAATTAGAAAAAAAATTCAAACAAGGGTTTTTTTTCCTGTACCTCAATATTTCTTAGTTCACTAAAAATATATTTAAAATTTTATGCATACCTTTGAAAGACCTGGGGAAACAATTGAAATTTTTCAAATATTTCTTTCTTTCTCGAGTTGATGATTAGAATAACTATTTTCAGATAAAATATGAATATTAATCTTGAAAATAAACTTATTAAGTATCTGACTCTCTCTTATAAACAAATAAAATAAACTGCGTTTTTAACCTTAACTGTTGAAAACGAAGTTCTGAAGTATATACAGGAAAAACAATATTTACAAAAAAAAAAAATTTCAAAATAAAATTCATACTTCCAGTTATTTTAAATCAACATACTGGAAGTTTTATACTTGAATTCAGTTGCAGCAATAATATCAAACTTTAACTTCACATTCATCTTTAACTTATACAGTATATATCAGATCTGATAATATAGGGGTGCACAACCTTTTTGAGTAAAGGGTCACTTGCACAGCAGGTTGACTAACGAAGGGCCACACATGTATTTAGTCACGTTCCCTGTAGCATAATTTTTTCGAGCTATCTGCGACAAAACTGTCTAGCACTAAAATCTTTCTGCAAGATACTTTTAATGAAAACAAACGTATATGCTACCAATTTAATTAATTACTTATTAACTATTAATAATTACTAATTTAATGAATAATTAACAAAAGCGCTGTGTTTAAAAAATTACTTTTTAATTGAACATGTTATAATTTTTTATTCTAATATTATGGGTGATATTTTTGAATTTTGTCGAGGGGTGGGGGTAACACACAAATTATTTCCTTCACATTTTGTAAATAATCATCACAATAAAAAATAATGAAAAATCATGAAATCCGATCGACGATGAAACCACACGAATTGGACTCTACAAAAAAGAGTTACTCAAATGCATAATAAATAGTTGTAATATCGCATAAAAAATTGCGGATTTAAGAACTATTCAGAAATCAACAGCAATAACTGCCAAAAATTTGATAGAATCATTGCCTTAAAAAGTAAATACTCAAATGCACGATTCGTATTTCTCATATTGTTTGAAATATATTGAGAAATTTAAAAAACACAGGAAAATCAACATCATTAACTACTGAAGAAAATACAATTGAAACACGACATTGATTTACAATACTAACTGCTTAAATTAAGTGTGTCAAAAAGTGATTATCTAAATGCATGATTCAATTATTATGTGTAAACTTCTTTAAAAAAAAAAAGTAAAATTTTTTACTTTTCAAAAGAAAAATCTTTCTGCAAGAACTATGTAATGTTCTGCGACAATGTTGCCGTGTCGCTGCGTTTCTGCCACGGGGGACACGTTAATGGCAACTTTTAACATGAGTGTTCTAATTTTTTTTATCAATAAACTTAGTAATATATTTGTTGAAAATTAAAGTAGTTCAATTATTAGAATTCATTCGAAAATTAAAAAAAGCTGATACTTTTAAAAAAAGAAAAAATGCCATTTTTATCATATCACGCGATACAAAAATTAATTTTAGAAATAAATTCTAATTAAAAAAAATTGCAATGCTCTCAGAAAGAAAGTAAGAAAAAATTAATACATAATTAAGTGCATAAATTCAAATTAAATATTTTAATTGAAGAAAATTTATAAGTTTTCAACAAAAGCCTAAAATAAAAACAAAACTTATAGTTCAAAATAAAATTCAATACTTATTTGGTAATGTACTTTATTATTTCATTTTACTAATTCTTAGATTTTTTAAAAAAAAAGATAACGTTTACTATATATAGTAAACGTTATCTTTTTTTTATTGAAAAAGATTACTTAAGCAACAAACAGTGAGCAGTTTAAAAATTCACGTTTTCCACCACCTTTGAATTTCTCCGGTTGCTATCATATTGCATTTAAATTAGGGATTTAATGAGCATTTGGCACTTTAGTCAAAAATTCAGTTGGTTAAATAACGATCAGTCAAATATTCCTCAGAGTATTTTTTTAAAAATGTATTTTTCTAAGTTTTTTTTTTCTTTTGAATTTGTATAGATATGATAAAAAATGATATAAAATTGTATTTTGACTATATTATAGTATTGTTTATTATAAGAAATAGTTTTAACATAAATTTCTAAAATTTTAAAATCCATGTTTCTGCACATGGCTTGCAAATTTATCTTCTAGAAGACAAAGGGAAAATCGAAAGTTGGAAAACTAGATTACTTTATTCTGAACCACAAATTTTTGAATTTCTGCCTTTTTTTTTAAAAAAAAGTATTTTTTTTAATCAGACAAATCCATTTCGTAATTTTTTCGATACTTGCTGAGAATTGAGAAAGTTTTTTTTTTTTAAAAAAAAATTTCTGCTGCTTTTATTATAACGCAGCATTTTAACGGAATGTCTTCTACTATTCATTTATTATCACTCTTTCCATGTACTGTAATATAAATAACTGGAAACATAGAAAACTGATTTTCAGCGTTAAAGGTTTGTTTTAGGAACTAAGAACAATTTGTTTTTTTCTGTTTTTCTTTCTAATAAACTTTTCTTTTTATAGGCATTTTTATTATGACACAGCATTTTTTTCAATGAATGTTATTAATAAACTTTTCTTTAAAAAGAAAAAGAAGAAAAAAATTCTTTTTTTTTAATTGAGGTTTTTATTATAACGCTGCAATTTTCAAGAGCATTTCTGTTGACTTAATTCTTTTTTCTTGACTTACATTGCTGGTAATTGAAAGACTGAGATGTCCAGCTTTAAAATTTTCTTTCGAAAATTAAGATCGATTTTTATTTTCTCGGTCTTGCTTTTGTATATAATATAATCTTTAGTTTTTATAATAGCATGTCATGTTCAAAACCGTTCTTGATAGGCCTTATTTTTTGCGTTCATTTATGAATCCGTTTTTCCATAAAATATTATTCTTAGCAATTAAATTTTGGTTTCAAAGTCGCTATGTTGCTAAAAATTGTAGCTATTTGGCCTCGAATATATGGCATTAGGTTGATTTTTTTGCCGAATATCCGGTTTTCGACCAAATCACAATTCATTACCACATTCGACCAAATCATATTCCTTACCGAAGAAATGATGTAAAAATAACTAGGTTTTACTATAAAACTACACCGAAATACCGCATAAAAGAGTAATTATTTATATATAAATATATATATTTTTTAAATAACGGCAGGCACTTAAACTATCGTTCTTCACCTCGGAAGATGCCGGAAGTGTTGCTCATTTAGCGTTACCCAGTAGGCACCTGTGAACCTAAGTCACGGAGGCGAGTAACATTACCCACGCCACACTGCCACAAACCCGTTCATAGGGTGGGCGACATTCACACATCACACACAACAGAGGACTGCACAGAGAGAAACATCCTGCCCAGAGCGGGATTCGAACCAGCAGGCTTCGCAGTCAGGCACGCTAACCGCTCGGCCACCTGGCC